AATAATATAAATAGAACACAGACATTGTTTTTTTCACGTAATGAGTATTCTATTATCACAGGTGGGACATTTGTACAGTAAAATGTTTTTTTGTAAAATGCGGGCCACGTACCAATTTTTATACGAAACGTAGATTTTTCAGAGAGGGCGACTACCTTTCACTTGGTTTCTTAAAGCTGAAGTTGGAGAAGGTAATAAGAGCCTGCAGAACTGAACCGCTGAGGAAAATTTTTTTACATCGACATCATTCGTAAAAATAACCCCGAAGTCTGTTCTGCCTTTTCAAAGTTGGATAAGTAAGGCAAACGAATGGGTCTGGTGGTCAACTAGGAAAATACCAAGTATCATATGTCCTCAAAAAAATAGTCAACACATTCGAGCCTTGTCAGCATTGAAATCCAACGCAGAATCACTCTTGCCAACAAATGCTACTTTGGACTGAGTAGGCAATTCAGGAGTAAAGTCCTCTCTCGACGTACGAAAGCCACGCTCTATAAGTCACTCATCATGCCCGTGCTGGTATATGGCGCAGATGCATGGACAATGACAACATCCGATGCGGCGGCTCTTGGAGTGTTTAAGACAAAGATTTTGCGGAAGATTTGCGGGCCTTTACGCGTTGGCAACGGCGAGTACCGCAGACGATGGAACGATGAGCTGTATGAGCTTTACAACGATAAGGACATAGTGCAGCGAATTAAAATACAGCGGCTCCGCTGGCTTGGTCATGTCGTTCGAATGGACACCGACGCTCCAGCTCTGAAAGTATTCAACTCGGAACCCGCTGGTGGTAGCAGAGGAAGAGGGAGGTCCCCACTGCGATGGAAGATCAGGTGGAGAAGGACTTGGCTTCACTTGGCGTTTCCAATTGGCGTCAGTTGGCACAGAGGAGAAACGACTGGCGTGCTTTGCTGAACTCGGCCAAAATCGCTTAGGCAGTTACAGCGCCAAAAAAGAAGAAAAAGTAAGCACGTAGAAAAACAAAATTGTGCAAAGCTTATTGTGTTCTACGGGGTGCACATCGCGGAATGTATTCGTCATAGCTTATGACAGCAACTTTCCCATGTAAATGGTTAATTTATTTCCCTGTACACAGCGAAGAAGGCTCTGAAAATTCTGTCCGCTGGGCAATCGTTTAAGAGATGCTTGAGATTACGTTATCGTAACAGGGACAAGGCAGGACAGTGTCCTGTTCTTACACCCGCGGTAGATATAATTAGGGGGAAGCATTTACGCCTTCATGTATTTCCATTGAAGGTCAAAGAGAGCTAAAGACTCGGATCTGTTTTCATTAATTCGGAGCCCACATGATGTTGTCTTGTTCAATAAAAATGGATCTGGGCTATAGTTATGTATGTATGTAGATTGCTTGGCAGCATTTGGAGCAGAATTGAATAGTTATAGATTAGTTCCCTTCAGTATCAATGCTGTTTACAGGAATATTTCTGTGTCCACGAACCCAGATTACATTCTTTGGTATTGTTACGGAGTATTCTATTACAGTTGAGTAGCCGCTTTTATATCTCTTACTTCAGAATACGCTACAGTACCCCGTTTAACGCAGTTTTATGTTTAGAAGTATAGGCTTGTTCGAGTTGCAATCACAACCGCATTGTTGCGCGAATTATTAAAGTATCACGTTCTGTTTGAATTTTTAGCAATGTATTATCAGTTGGGCAGTTGCAACAATGTTGGCATTTTTCATCAGTGCGACAGTAATGGCGCTGTTATTACGTGCCTCGCACAACCCCAATTTATTCTGAATGGATGTTGCTGCCGCCATTACTGTTTAGCACAGACTGGAGTTTGTCGCAGAAGGACCGAGATAGCTTTAGGAGTTTTGCAGGTATTGGAAGGAAGGCCTTAGAGATTCCATTATTCTTTTGGACGTGTTTTGGCCAGCGTACGTCGCCGTACATGACAATGGAAAATTTTGTATCATATTACCGTAATTCACAACATGAAGGTGCCGAGGCAATGCTGCCAGCTACTCTGATACGGGGCACATTTAGCAAATTTGACTTTTTTCAATCAACTTTAAAGAAAGTTACCCGCATTATCATCTGAAGAAATGTTTTCATAATTTATTTTCAACTCATAAGCGATTAACTCACTCCTATATATTTTTCGATTCTTTAAATATCTTTTTATATAAGTATGTGGCTTCAAAAACTGCCGGAGCTACCTTGGTCTCTCCAATATAGTATACATAACGAATACTTTTACGGTATTTTGATTTCTAAAATAAGGTCACCGTATCTATGGGTAAATTTGTTTTTGAAATAAAGAAATTTCGCGCAGATTTTATATGAAAGAAAACGTGTAGAACCGTTTGAAAAAAAAAATTTAATGCGCAAAATTTCGCATACCTATTTTTGTGCATTAATGTGTGTACATATCGCTGGTCCTCTGCAATAACGACACAATTAAAAAAAACAAAAACTCCTGCCTCTTTTAAGTGGGTAATATCTCTAATTCTTGTCTAATCTAGGTTTTATCCTAACTACTTAATTTATGAAAGATTAGGCATGGATTAGACCAGGATTAGAGACTTGAACATCTTAATAGAAGCAAGGGATTTTATTTTTAACCGACTTAAAAAAGGAGATTATCAATTCGTCGGAACATTTTTTTTCATTAAATCATGAGAAAATTAATGATACTTTTAAATTTTTATATCAGAATTGAAGTCGGTTTTGTTTTTTGCTTAAAAATTACTTGCTTGAATTGTGTCGTTATTGCAGGGGATCATCGAAATGTAAATATATAAAACTTTATAAATATTTAGATATATTTTTCTTATAAGCCTAACTGCCGGTTTCACCAAAAATTTAAGTTAAACATGATTTTTTCCCTTCTACATATCAGTTTTCAAATTAAATTCCAATAAAAAAATATTTTTTCACTTAGATATCGCTGATTCACTCCAATGAATAAAAATCCAAAAAGTATAAATTTTGAGTGGAGCAAGCTGAAACTACCGCTACCTCTTCTTATATGTTGTTTAAGAATTTCATAGCTGCATCGATTACTTGTATCTCACTAAAACGAAATATGTGTTCGTTTCTACTATGGGAGTATAAGTAAATTCAAAACGTTAAAGTCGTTTTACTCGAGTTTTTTCTTTTGAGTTCTGACACTATTGAAGTAAATAAACGATAAGTAAATTGCGTTCGTGAATTGCGCTTTATTACTTTTTCTATCAGCATGAATTAAGTTTAACTTAATCTTACGTTTTACGATAAAAAAAAAGTTTTCATTACACCATTTCAACTGCAACCAATTGAAAAATTTTGCGATTTAGGAATTTGGGACGCCGCGGCGCGCCCGAAAGTTTAGATTTAAAAATTAAATCGAATACTAGGTACGTTTCCGAAAATAGGAGCCCGCCTGTAATGAATTTTTAAATACTTTCCATAAAGAATGCATGAAAAGGCTTTATTAAAACTTCCAATTTAGAGGAAGCAATGAAAACTCAAATTTGGTATTTATAAATAATAGAAAATATTTATGTATGAGGACGTTTTTATATACATACATACATATGTACGTGTGTATTCGATTTTGATTGGCACCACTAACGACTGCGTATACGCAACTTTATGTATCCATGTGTGAATTTAGCAAACATTGGCATATTTTTATTATTTGCCTTTTTCTCATTTCCACCTACTCGCCGCTCACATCCCTATGGGTGTAAAGGAATAATTTTTGCTATTTTCAAGAGAGAATACAATTTTTTATTTGAATCATTTGATATTCCATTTAAATATAGAGTGTGTCGCAAATTCGTTGTGGAAATAAGGTCAAGTAAATGCATGTATGCATATACATAAGTAAGTAGAAAAAATTTAGTTGTGGCAGAAAAATAGAAATATGAAAAGAGAAACACATACATCCTTCCTATGGAAAGTATGTATGAAAATTAAATTGCTTACCAAAAAAAAAAAAAAAACACAGTTTCTGATGCGAAATGTTTATCACAAAACAAACACATAATGCGGCACGAATATGGTTCTCTCTACAGAGGAGCACGAAAAAAGGATTAGGCTTAAGTGAGGCACAAGCATGTCGGAGCAAAAGTGCGGAACGAATTTTTGGTTGGGTTTTCATTTGTAAGCACTTATTTTTATATGACAGCGTGTGTGTACATCGGTAAAAGGGTGCATGCGCTTTTTTTTATTCATTTAAGTGACATTTAACCGAATGACTTTCTAACACATTTCAAAAATGTGACCCAGTAAAAGTGCAAAATAATCGAAATGCGTATGAAAGGAATTGAATGCGCGCATAAGAGCACATTATTGTGGGCTGTAAGCGCATAATGTTTGTATGCTTACGGATTATGCTGTGCTGGTATTTGTTGGGCTTTGAAATGTGCGCAGGGAACAAATGCCGATTAGAGGGCTAGGTAAACGATTTTAGGTATTTTGGTTTATAATACATACATTAGGGCGAGTCGATTTGTAAGGGAGATTTTTCCGACTATGCGCGTATAGCACAGTTGGACTCTACGTGTAATTCTAAGAAAATTTGTCGAAAAAACCATGGGTCTAAAACAACGATGGGCAGAAAGAGCTTTTACTCTGTGTGCGTCAATACAAAATTTATAGAAAGCTTAAAGGAGCTTTGCCCGCAGGCAATGCGATGCCCATCACCGGTCTAAAATCAATTTAGAGCTTGTCAAATTGCGAAAATAGGTTTCTTAGCATTTTGCAGTAGTGTCTTAAAGAATTGCTTAAATTTTATATGAAATCATGTTACAACGGGTTCTTTGCTATATGGAATTAATTTCTGCACTTCCTCCTATTCTATACGGGCATAGTCAAAAAAATTTACCCGCCCTAACATACAAACATATATTTTGTACATATACTGAACACAATAGTGCTTTCAGTTTTGCTTTCCTTTTCATTTTAACAGTTACGTAATTATATACATACATGCTCATACATATATCTAAAAATATCTGCATTTTACTTTAACCTTGTGTTTTTCAGATTCAACTTGACAAACGTTGAGGAACCCCTTTTTTCGCTGGAAAATCTTGACACATTGACATCTATGATGACACAGGAAAACAACTCATTGAAATTGCGCATTTATGCTTACAATCCGAAGGGCCGCAGCCCTTTGTATCTGTTGCCGGATTTCATTATTGGCTCGTCAGCATACAAAACAGGTGAGTGGCAAATAATATTTTACTTTTCCATCAAACAATGTCAAGGAGAGATGGCATTTACAAATACACACACATACGTATGTAAAAAATAGATTTGTAGTTAGATAAGTATATATTTTTAAATGCTATGAGTATGAATTTTTAAATGCTTTCATTAAATATCGGTTAGTTGCTAAAACAATTTTTAGTGCAAGTGAATAAGTAAAAGTTGTAGCAAACAATTATTTTTAAAACGTATTAGTTGTTGTGTTAACATAAATAATTTTTTTGAAAGGGAAGATACTGTTCACGCTTAATAAGTAGATTTTAAAGTTGATTACTTATGATACGAAGGCCAAAAACGCCCGATTATTTCTAGTTTAGAGAGCGAAAAAGGAAGTTAGATTTGACAGCAAGTGTGTAACAGTAAAATGCACAGAATGGAAGTAGCCAACTTTGTGAAACCCACACACGTGATGGAACATTGCACATAGCACTTTTTTTGACTAAAGCATACCAACTTAAATCAATCCCATTCACGCCCCCATTCAGGCGCAGTGGGCAAAAGAAAGTTTGAAAACGTAGAATTGTTCTGTTTTGAAATAAACACACTCCGTGAAAGGTTAAGGTTAGACTCTAGAAAGGTAAAATTATCGAAGATATGAAATCCTGCAAAAAATTAATTCAAAAGTAATGACCACCACCAATGATTTCTGTAAAGCCGCATGGCGTTAAAACGTCCCAAATTGAATTTCACAAACTTAAAAACTATTCCAAATGTTAATCAGAGTTATAAATCCACGCAGCCGTTTCTGAGTGAAAATAGGTCCCGTATAGTATTTGTTTTTAATTGCATCAAATTTCAAATCACCCTGAACCAATAAAATATTATATTAAAAAAACAGCAGTATCGCACATCTAAAGGCCCAGGTATTTATTTTAATCCCTCATAAGAAATTCAAAAGAACGGCGCAAATCGAATGACCTTCACAAAAAATGTCCTCTCGTATAATATACATTAGACTGCATCACTCCCCATACAAAAAAAAATAAATCAGTACTCTTTTTCCATTGAAATTATAAAAGCTATTATATTTTAAGACGTCCACCAAAATATTTTAGAAAAATATTGAGATTTACGTGAGCTGGACCGATTAGAAAATACCTCCAAAAATTAAGTTTTTTAAGAATAAAAATAGTTTCTGAAATATGTTTTTGAAAAAATCCCCTCAAATGACAAAAAGTGCAAGCTTAAAAAATTCACATAAAAAATATTTTTAAAAACTTAAAAAAAAAATTGAACGGAATCATAATAATGAGAAAAATTAAAGTAAAGAAAAACTTGAATAACTGAACGTAAACTTTCGGTTTAGGATTGTGAGGTATCATTCACTCTAAAAAGTGCATGTAAAACTACTACTGAAAAATGTTTATTTTTCAACTAGAATCTGTTCAAGTATACGCATAAGATGTTCAAGATTTGATTTTGAACATGAGTTGTTTAAAATATACACATGAAATATTTAAAATTACAAACATTTTGAAAGTAAAAATCTATTTATTNAAAATTCGCTCTTTAAAATACATTTATGAAAGTTTTATTTACAGGATGAAATAAATAAATAAACTTTTTAAAGTATCATCAATTGCATTTTATTTACATAAAATTTACAAAGAACTCAGACATTTTTAACCGGCTTCAAAAAAGGGGAGGTTATCAATTCTTCGGAGTATTTTTACTTCTTTTATTTATTCCACCGCAGAACTTTGCACCGCGTGAATCGATTCTAATAATTATTATTTTTACCGGAAAGATGGTACCTTAAGGGTCCGATCATTAAATCATGAAAAAATTAACGGTTTAAGATGCACTCAACTTTCAAAAGTAATACAAAATTGTACAAAAGAATTTTAATATAAATAAATTAAATAATTTCAGGAAATTTTTACACTTTTTGATTAATTTTCGTCGATTATTGGTTTCTCATTTTTTAATAATTCGTATAACGAAAATTTAACTGAACTTGTATTTTTATCATGTAGCTCATTTTGGTGGAACGAATTCGAAGTTAGCAAATTAACAGCCCGATTCCGCATCACTGACAAGTTCACCACAGTCACTTTCATGACAGCTAGTCATTGTTCGCTATTCTAGCGCTCTAACAAAAGCTTGTTTTGCTGACAGTCTTGTCAGTTCTAGAAAAGGTGCTGACAGCGGTTTATTGTGTTAATTTTTGAAATTTGTGAAATTGTGAAATTATGGAGGAAGAAATTTTAATTTATGCATTGGCTATGAAAGCCCAGGAAAAAAAAGAAAAAATTGATAAAATGGAAAAATGGGCTGGGCATCTCCAAAATGCAAAAATTTTTATTCTATAAAAAAATTCTTATAAAAAAATGGTTTATTCAACAACAAATAACATATACATATATATACAAATAAAATTCCTAAACTTTGTGCAAAACTAGCGAAAATTCAGCAAATTTTCATCAAAATTTACAACTTTTTAATCAGATTTTTTAAAAAATTTTTGAGTATGCAATTTTGCAGCCAATTAAATTCTAGTAAAGAAAATGCAAGTTCGGAGTTAGTCAAAATTCGTGTTGATTTTTGAGAATTTTTTTTTGTTGAAGGTGTTTTGCATTTTTTCCATATAAAGTAAAAAGAAATTTTGTATGGAAGAGACTGCGTGAAAACAAATTGCCAAAAATCAATGGTAATTCCTAGCTACTTAAAACTTGCACTTTATTATAATAAAATTGCGCTACAAATCCGCATACTCAAAAAAATTCTAAAAAATCTGATTAAAAAGTTAAAAATTTTCATGAAAATTTGCTGCATTTTCGTGATTTTTGCATAAAGTTTAGGAATTATATTTTTATGTTTTTTGTTGTAGTATGAACTATACATCGGGCTGTAAATCTTCGAATGCCTATTAAGTACATATCAGTGGTAAACTTTTTTAGGCTTAAAGTGTAAAAAGCAACAGTAAGTGAGTATGCATTGCATATTTTTAGGACAATGTTTTCATTCGCAGTTAAACTTTAAAGAGCTCTTAAGAAAAAAAGAAAAATTCTTACAAAATGACGCACAATTTTTCTTTCAAAATTTCTTATATCATAATAAGTTTAGCCCCAAAACCCACCCCTTGTGTGCGCTACGTGACAAATTTGATATGTAAAAGTAAACAGACATTGTTTAATTTTGCACACACTAGGAGAGGAAACTGGTTACCTCTCTTTATATGCGTAAATTTAAACGAAAATTTTTTAGAGGAAATTTTAAACATTTTATGGGTAAACTGTGAAAATGTGAACAATAAATGTTTAAAACTCAAAAAAAAAAATTAAATTTGTTCTACGCCACTTATATGATAAGTAAAAGTAAGCAGGCAGTGTTTAAATTTGCATTCATTAAGAGAGGAAACTGGTTACCTATCTTAATATGCGCAAATTTAAACAAACATTTTTTAGAGTGTTGGAAAGATATTTTCTCACCCTTTATATTTCTTTGCTTATAAGCTCATTCAAAGAATGAAAGAGAAAGGTTGGATGTTGGATGTTTGGGTGTTTGACAAAAAAAATTTCATACAACAGATTTTTTTTTGCACAGAAATAAAAAATAGTGGGAAATACCTTTCTACTGAGATCCTATAATTCTAAATCAGAATAGTTTTGGCCCAGTTATTAGTAGTAAAAAAACAGTATCAAAGTCTCATAATTACGATTCCGTTGAAAAGATTTTTAAATATTTTTACGCAGATTTTTTAAGCTTAATTAAACTTTTTTCAAAATGTTCTTTAAGAAACTATCGTTATTCATAAAAACTCCATTTTTTGAGGTATTTTAAAATCGGTCCAGCTCACCTAAATATTAATATTTTTTCGAAATATTTTGGTGGACGTCATAAAATATAATAAATTTTGTAGTCCCGGCGGAAAAACCGCAACTTTTTTTGGTGATGCAGTCTAAACTTAATATATACAAATCCCGAGTCACTGTGTTCGTTTACGCTAATCTCCGAAACCGCTTGGTTCCAACTCAAAAGATAGGATAGTTTTGAACCCGAGAAATATATATTTTCTTCCATCGAAATTTTTTCTATGCTTCTCGCATCGTGCTTATCTTAATATGAAAAAATCCCGTGTCCCGCTTAACCGATTTCAATGAAATTTTGTGGGTGTGTATTGTTGGTTCAAACTTAAAATATAGGATAGTTGTGAACCCGTGAAATATTCATCGAAATTATTGTCTATTCTTCTCGCAACGTTATTAATCCCGTGTCACTATGTTCGCTTACGCTAACTACAAACTGTCCATATCCGAAGCGAGATTTTTCCAATGTTATTCGCGGCTACGCTTCGTATGTATGTTTATGTTGGGGAGAAATAGGTAGGATAGCAACAAAATAATGTATGTAGTATGTATTTATACATATAAATATGCGCATATTAACAGCAACAAAAAATTTACCGTTTGGACACCATCCAATGTTATCCATTCCCCTGGCTGATGTTTGATCTGTAACCAGAGATCGTGTTTTTTCATACGTAGTGAACAATAACAACAATATTTTGTAAATTTCGATATCAAATGAAACGTATGAAACAATATGGCTCTTCACACGGAGATCGGTATTAGGTAACTCAGTGTCCGGTAATAGGTACATGGGAAAAAATTACCGAACATCGAGTTACCGAGTACCAAGCTTTGGTGTAAAGACCCATAATATCTACGATGCATGTTACCTGCCTATACTTCATACATATAAACTGAATTATAATATAATTAATTATACATATAAACTTAATTAGATCGATATTACCAATTAAAATACAGCGGCTCCACTGCCTTGGCCATGCCATTCGAATGGACACCGAAGCTCCAGCTCTGAAAGTATTTATTCCACTCGGAACCCGCTGCACAGTGGTTTAAAATTTGATTACCCCATTTTTTAATGATTTATAGAATTTGCCAGAGTTGCTCACTTGCAGCTTGCACTTTACTATACTAAAATTTAGAAATCTATAAAACTGCATAACATTACAAATATTTCTTGTGATTGTTTTCCGTTTTGGAGGAACCAAACAATTGTTTTAAACAAGTTTTTATTACGTAACATTTATTAACTGGAGCAGGAGAATCGGTTTTCTTCAAAATTGCTACTTTTTCTACACTTTGCACTAAAAAACTTAATAAATACGTACAGATTCAAAAATTGGGCTCAAATGGGGGCCAATTCTTGTTCTGTGAAAAAGTGAAGTGAAACCACTTTTCATTACGTCCCATACAATGACGATTCTGTTTTCAAATGAAAATAATTTTATTTGTCAAAAAGTTTTCACTGTGAAATTTTCTTTTCACAAAGTTTTCTGGTTGTGAAATGGATAAGTTGAACATTTTGCTCAAAAACAAATAATTATTAACATTAAATTCCAGTTTAACCACTGTGCGCTGGTGGGATTAGAGGAAGAGGGAGACCCCCAGTGCGATGGAAAGACCAGGTGGAGAAGGACTTGGCTTTAATTGGCATTTCCAATTGGCGTCAGAAGAGAAACGACTGGCGTGCTTTTTTGAAATCGGCCAAAACCGCTTAGGCAGTTACAGAACCAAATAATAAGAAGAAAATTTAGAAAAGGTGGCAAGCCTAATCAAATTCGGCTGTTCAAACAGGTTCCTAAATCTTTTTCGTCTAAAAGCTTAAACAGACGGCAATGTTGATCGGGATCAACTGGGACTTAATCCGGACCAACTGCAGTTAATTCCCGAGTTGAACCGGATCAACGCTGCCGTCTGTTTATGCTCTAAGGTTGTGATACTTAGTATTTCAATTAACTCATGAATTGAGTTGAATTTAATTTTTCTAAACATGTGGCAATTTCTCTAAATATACCTCAGAAATTAATCCTTTTCATAACCATTTCGATTGATATCGATATTTTAATAATCCATCTGATTTATTAAATAATTTTATCGTAATTTTTCAGAAATATTCTTAGTGTTCAAACCAACGATTTTTTAACACTGTTTCACTTGGCATATTTTAATAAATTGTGTATAGGTTAAACAAATTCGACCATTCAAGCAGGTGACAACCCTCTTAAAATATTACAAACTATAACCTGATCAAACTCCTTTCGTCTGACGCCCAAATTTAATTTGATTTTTTAAAGGTGGCAACCCTCCTACAGTTAAGTTATGAAACGAATCTTTTCAAAACCATTGCGATTGTACCAACCACTTTTTAATAATTGGTTTAGTTTTGTAAATAATTTGAATTAACTTTTTTAAAGGGGCAAACTGTTTTTGAAAAAGTAAAACTTTGTTGCATATCGGCAGCGCAGCCCTTTAATTTACGCCTCCTTTTTGTAATTTAAAAAACAAAGCTTTTCAAAACTATTTCGATTGATACCAATTTTGTAATATTTGGTTTAACTTTGCAAATAATTTGAGTTTTTAAAGGCCTATAGTAGATTGCAAAAGATTGGCAAAGAACCAGAACGTCGAATTTATAGCAGTAAATGGTGCAAACAAAAATTACGAGACTTCAAAAATTCGGGTCTAATTTTAAAACAAAGATAAGAAAAAAAGTGATAAAACGTAACTGGATTTAAATACAATGAAATATGCCTTTGCTGAACGTGTCTAGCCAAAAAGAAAAAAAATTGAAAGGAATCAATTCAAAAAAATTTGTTTAAGTGCATTTAAAGTCAACCTCAATTTTTTCGTAAATTTTAGCAAATTTGTGTTGATATGAGGTTTGTTCCACACGCTTATGGCTTTAGTATAATGCTGCATTCCCTTTATCCTTTAAACGACAAGGAATTTTTTGATGAGACTTAATAAGAATATTGACTTGCTAGTATCGGAACTATTTCTTGTACATTTATTTGCCAAGAGTTCTTCAACGGCTCGGCGCTAGTGAGTCATTCGCAATCGTATGCTGCGAATGCCGCATTATACTAAAGCCAGCCTTTCGACATAAGCTACTCTTCTGTATGAACATAGATATTTAATTATAATTTTAGTAAAAAGTGAGCGGGCCTTTTTTTGGACGAATCGTGTATTTTGAAATTAAGTGTTCACCACAGTTGCAAATTTATTGAAAATAAGTTCTGAGTTGTTAAAGTTTCGCATTTGTTTAGCCATTTACTACTATAAACTTGACTTCGTTTGGATTAATTTTGGCGCTCAGCGTAGCTTAGAATCACACACAACCTGCAATTAAATGGAGTATATTAATTTAAGAGTTTAATAGAGAAATATACATACTTAGGTCATGGTTTTAGAAGATGTCTCTGCCATCATTATAACCAATACCATACTATGTACGTTAACTCATTTAAACTCTTTGTAACAAGTTTTCGCCTCTCGACAGCGCTAAACCATTGAATGTATTCCGGAATTTTTCTTTCAAATACTGCAATAGCTGAGCTAAAATAATTAATAGAGTGAGCCTAATTAGTTCCTTATAGAGTGTCGTTTTTGTGTAATTAGTTAGGACTTTACCTACTTCTCAGTATCTTAAACAGTCAAAAGTAGCATTTGTTGGAAAGAGTGATTTTTCGTTGGCTTAACAGGCCGACATCATTATTTAACTGCCAACAGTAACGTGGTACGCTGACAGTTACCTATTGACAGAATATAGTTTGTCTTGTCCTCGCTGATGCATTTTGCAGCACTCAAGTGAGACACCTAGGCTCCTTTTATATGGGAGCCAAGAAATTTGGTTATTCGTCGACCTCGTGTAACTGATGATTTTAGAATTATGGTGGTTGGTTGGTAGAAGTGTCGCCAGAGCACGTGCCCAGTACCCAATTTGTGCTGTTAAGACCAGTTTGATATCCTTTCTCTGGGATCTTTTATATTATCTGCTCTTATGAATGATTCGTCAAATTCGTTAAACCACTAGGACTTGCCGATGAATCAATTTATGTTAGTAATAGAGTATTCGAAAGTCTTCATAAGATGCGTGCCAATGCTGGGACCACGCAAATTTAATGTAAGACCGTTTCCTTTATTTCTTCGAGATTACATCTACGGCACTGCGAATTGTCGGGAAAGCGCATTTTGGTCGCATGTTCACCAACAGGCCAATGTCTCGTTATCTTGGCTATTAATCTGTTTATTTATTTTCCTGACCTCTTTAAAAGTTATGTTAGTTAGTTTTGTATCTCTGAACAGAGTTCCTAACCCAGTATGCCCAATTTACCATTGGTAGGCGAATTCCTTACTTATTATTCTTAATTACTGGGCCAAGCCAAGGCCGGACTGTCACAAATAATGTGTTCCGAAGTATTGTTATCTTTGTCGTCATTTCGACTCTCCCATAACACCTTTTCGGTACATATGAAATCGTAATTGATTGTGACCAGTTAAGTATCAGGAGAGTGGCCTGATGTCATTTGTGTTTAATAGTACAATATGTTGCGCAATAGTTTTTTTTTTGGAAATTAAGGATTACTTTGTTTATATATCTAGTATATACATATGTAGTATTCACTTTACATTTACATTTATCTGAAATCATTTAAGAACCATTTCAAATAATAACAATTTTAATATTCATACTGCTCCTTCTTCTTCACTTTTTCCTTGCATATTCTACTACTTCTCTGCGCTGCTGACTGATATTGAAATCAACAACATATTATTTATTCCATAATAACATCATATGGATTTACTTGAATTCCTGTGAAATGTACGTGCTTGTCATATTAATGACGGCACGACGGGTGCACTTATGATTTATTGCATGTTGACAAAAAAAACGAAAACAAAACCGGAAAATAAAAATAAATGAATACAAAACACGTACAATATGAAAAATAAATACTACGAAATATTTATATAAAATGTTAAAACAATATTTGCAATTAAAATACAAATAAATGCGTGAACTATTGAAAATAATCTATATATATAAAAAAAAAAAACAAATAAAACAATAATACGAAATATCCACAATTCAAAAATCGCCCATTTATACCCACCGACTACTCGCAATTCAATACCGCGCCGTTGCTGCATGCATAATATATATAACTATGAAAATAAATCTGAATATTAAAAAATATAAATCCAACAATAAATGAAAACCATGCAACAACATCAACAACAACGATGACAACCACAACAACAATCATAATAACGACAAACATAAACCTCCGACCGGTATGGAAATGTGAAAATACAAAAATGCGAAATCTCCAACTGTCAACGCATTGCCGCCAACGCGCTTCGGTCGTAGAAGATGAAGTATCCATTACGCTTTCGCCGGTGCTGGTTGGCAGCGGTCTGACTGTTGTCATCATTAGTTTGGCCATCATAGTGCGCATATTCATCGTTACATTTTTGCATAATTTGCGACGCAATCAGCAGCATGGCAGCAAACCGATAGCGACCGGTGTGGTGGCGCAATCTGGCGATGTGCTGAAGGTAAAGCGGCAGGAGATTTTTTATTTTTTATGCTTGTTGTTGGTGCAGTTTTTGATTTTTCTTCTTGTTTCTTTTTTTTTGTGAGACAAAAGTTGTCGCAATAGCCCAGTTACCGATGACGGCCAGTAACGATATTCAATTCACTTTCATTTCCTCGTTTTTTGCTTCTCTTTTTTATTTCATGATTTTTTTCTCAAAAATTACCAACTAGAAGTGCGCTGGCATGGAGAAACCGCGCTGGCAGCATACGGACATTAAAACTAAATCATCCGAAGATTTGGTCGAAGATGAACGAGATCCGGATGTCATACCATCACAATATGGTGAGTAGAAATGAAAATGGGAAGGTGTATTTTAAATTTCAATGAAATATGTAAATGTGTAGGTATATGTAGCCGTTTAATGTTGACTGGCATGAATTTAATTTGGGAATTTAAACTTCAGAATGCATTTACTTAAATAAAAAGTGTCTTAAAAAGTAATTTATAAATTTAGTAGTGATTCCAATATAAATACATCTAGGAATATACGTATGTATGTATATCGTTAGCTTAGAGTTCGACGTTAGTGATTTTTTGTTTTTTTTTTTTGTATTGTTTCTATGCTTTCTTTGGACTTAGACAATTTTCGTTTCACTGCATGGAAAATTAGTAATACGGTGTTTTTAGGAACAATGCATTTTTAATTTTCCTTGCTTCCTGAAACGAAATGTAAGTTTTCATAATAAATGGACGTAGCAACTTTTTACGCTAAAATATTTTTTCAAGGCAATTGCGAGAAAAATGTGTTTTTTTGCTCGAGCCTAAGGGACGTTTTTTTACATTCAGCAATTAAAAAAAAATTAGATCGTTCTACTGGAATAATCGTGTGCTTTAATTTATGCCGGACGGAAATAAATCCCGATTTTGGAAGGGGCTGCACAGCGGTTCAAAACTGGAATATAATGTTCACAATTCACTGTAGCCAGTGATCGGACTTCTACCACATTGTGGTATATCTGCCACCTTTTTGAGCATCTACCACATCTACTCCACAAGGTCTGAAATCTACCACATATTCGCGTTTTTGAGTACCTAGTTTTATTTTTGCTCGACATAATTTTCTTAAGTTGATGAGCAAAAATTGTCCAACACTAAACACTATGTATATGGTTCTGCATTCGCGGCGGCGATGAAAATTCTCAAGTAAAAGTAAACAAAGCGGAATGGGAGGATAAAATAAACTGTAAAATAGTAAGTTATCTCAATAATAAAATTTTCGGCAGGAAACGTGGTTTTATTATGTTAGATTGCAAAATATATGATTTATAAAAAGAATTAAGAGCGAAAATGTTAAAAAACGGCGCTTTTTGTGAAAGTATTAGCAAATTTTAGTGCATCTAAAGTTTCTGAGGCGTTGTTTACTTTTACTTGAGAAATGTTAAAATCGGCAAATCCCAAGCAGCGGTTTCTGTAACGTGCCACATTTGTTCGCTACATCCTGATGTGGTAAAAAGAAAAGCTGGCTGCACTCCGCAAGGTTGCAAATATGTTCGAAAAATATCTTGATATGGAAGGAACTGCTTTACACTGTCAAGGAAAAAGTTGCCAAAACTCAACGTAATTTTTAGAAACTTCAATCTTGCACTTTATTGTACTAAAATTAAATTTTTTTAGAGCCTAATTTAATTTTAAAAGTTTGCAATTTAAGGGAAACCTTGCAGATTTTTTTAATTTTTGTACAAAGTTTGATCCAAAACCTGAGATCTACCACATTTTTTTGAAATTTACCACATTTTTCCCCATATTCTACCACACCGATTTTTTTTTAAGTCCGATCACTGTCTGTAGCCTTAATTTTTCAACCAATTTGATAAAGGTTTTTTATGAAAACTTTTAAAATTAGCAAGAGATCGTTGATCCCGATTTTTTAATTTTTATAAGTTTATATAAAATTTTTTAGTGCAAAGTGCGGAAAAAGTAGCAATTTTCAAGAAAAGTGATTTTCCTGTTCCAGTTAAAAAATGTTTCTTAATAAAAACTAGTTGGAGACAATTGCAGGGTTCCCTCAAAACGAAAAATAATACACAAGAATAATTTGAAATTTTATAAAACAAAATTCACCATAATTAAAAAAAAGAAATTGTTGAGTTTTTAGAAAAATTTTGGGTCTGCAGTTTTATTGATCATTAAATTTAGTATAACAAAGTGAAAGTTGTAGGTAGTTAAGAGTTTGCGTTGATTGACATTCTCATGTTGGGTAGTTTATATTGTTATTATATGTATGTATTATAAAAAATCAGCGCGAACTCTTAGCCACTCGAAACTTCCACTTTATTATACTTAAATTTCGTGGTTTATCTAAGAACTAAAAAACAATTTAGATTTGGTTGGAATTTTTTTTCATAAAGTTTCAAATGTTATTTGTTTGGATTTTTTTTTTTCGTTTTGGGGGAACCTTAAAATTTTTTTCAATAAATTTTTAATGTGTACCATTTACTAACTGGAAGGGAGAATCGACTCTCTTCAAAATTGCTACTTTATTACATTTTGCACTATAAAATTGAATATAAACAAACAAAAATTCAAAAATCGGGCTCAATTGGTCTCTTGCAAGTTTTATAAGCCTTCATTTAAAAACGAATTAATCAAATTGGGTGAAAAAAGAAGGCTCTAGTGAATTATGAACAGTAAATGCCAGTTTTGAACCCCTGTGCGCTGGTCAGATTTGCTGTCTTCTGTCTAGTGCCGACAAGAAAAACTATTGAGGCGCTAGACACAAAGATAACGCTCGCTCCCAGCAGCCACTGTCCAGTGATTCTAAAGAGCTTCCGTCTAATGAAGAAATTCCTTATATGGGCATTCCCATGGTGGCGCACGTGACAGTCGTACGATTTCAATGTGATACAAAAAAGGAATACCATTTGTTTTCTTTAACTTTTTTGGGCCATTGTATAGCACGTAATTAGCTCTATATTTAACCGAAAAATTAAATCAATCGAACTGCTTGGTCCTGAAATATAAGAATTTAAAGAGAGGTTCGTTACGTGACAAAAAATGGAAGTTGATTTTTTCTTTTCTTACAAAATCGCAAAACTCTGCGAATTGTGGATGGCTATTTTGATGAAACTTATTTTGATATGATTTGGAGCAATTCTAGTTGTTTTTAGAGTTTTTTGAATTAATGCAAATTGTTTCAATTCTCTTTTACAACACCAAGTGTGGAAGTGTGGATCGTTATATTTTTGTTAATATTGCTTTTAAATGAATTTTCAACGCAAATAAAACATGTATTTTATGTAGAATATACTTTATATTTTGACTTCAGCGCCAATTCAGGGTCAATTTATTAGAAATCTATGATTTATTATGTTTCAACCACATGCGCCAAATTCGAACCAAATCGGACCATAAATACGGTTTTTCGAAATATCTCGACCTTGGCACCACCTAGGAAGACCAATTTATGCAAACATTATTCTTCTTACATAGCCAGTATATATTTTAAAAAGCAGACAAATCGGCTCGTAAATACGTTAGATATAAAACTTTTATTTTTTTTGTCGTGGTGGACCTTCCGCTGGAAACACCCATATGCAATTTCCTACATTTCAAAGTCTATCCTGAAATTTTAGCTAGCCACGAAGGCAGTGCTCTGGACATGCCCTTTCTTGTAAATCTAAATATGAGTTTCAGTGAAGTCCTGAATTGGGATTATTTTCGCATTAAAAATGTTCTATCGTGTTTCTGGTACGAAAATTAGTTTTTCTCGCCTCCATGGAGTCCGTGACAAGAGAAAAATGATAAAAGAAACATCAAGTGCTGCTTGCCAAAGTTTGTCTTGGCCATATTAAAGAAACTATTGTCAATACAGACTTTAGAGGTATGTGAAATAGAACCTATGATTCCAAAATCGTCCCAAACCTAGAAGTAATTATCTTCTTTAGCCACTTTTTTCAAGAAAATCTCTCCAGCTGCAGAAATAAGTCTCTGATGACTTCTTGTATGCTACAGCCAGTTTAACCACTGGTACTGAAAGTTTAGCTTCGAAGAAAATACTTCGTGCTGTGACAGTTTATTACTATATGGCTGTCACTTGCCAGAGCGTGTCATGGCAATATGAAGAAACTTATTCTAAGAAAAAACTTGCCACCAACAGGACTGGCAACTCCAAGTAGGATTATGTAAAATAAAGTCAGTCTAGGTACTGCTAAAAAGTATCTCTGTTAAAGAAATCTTGCCAACACCAAATATAACTACCTCAAAAGGAAACAGTTATTCTGCAGCCAGTCCAGACTCAAAGAAGGAAAACTTGTTTCAGGACAACTATCCAGCGCTCGCCAGGGTTACAATTTTAAGGCTTTCGCATGACAGAAGCTGTCCGGGCGCTACCAACGTACAACGGAGAAAATCTAACTATCAGTGCTTTGTCTAGAGAATTTCCGGCCGGGATTTACATTATGGTGGTACGGTAGGATTATAAGAACTGAGATCTGGCGGGTATGTACTATAATGGGGTACTTGCTGTCTATGAAATCTTCAATAAAAAATAATGCCTCCTCCTGGCAAGAAAATCGATACTTTAAAATCCGACTGTAAATGCCGAAGATATGACGAAGTATGTTAAAACGCGACTCCTACGTTCGGCTAAAGAAAAAAAAAATCGAAATTGTCTTGAAAAATTACTTTAGATTCGAAGGTGTACGGGACGGTACATATTATATGTATACTCTTTGTTAGGAACCTCAATTTAATTTCTACATTGTTTTTCATAAAATAGTGGAATTTCTGTTAATAAATTTTGACTAAAAATTCTTCGCAATATTTTCCTTGAAATCACATTTTTCATCAACGAATATTTTGCTTTTATTTTCCCTTTTATTCTCACTTTATTTCATTTCGTCAACGTTTAATAAATTGCATTGCCAAACAAAAAACAACGACAAATATATTGCAATATTTGACACTCAACCAAATATTTGGAATGACAAACAACCCGCAAACCAACTGGCACGCTACTCTTCAAACTACCCAACCAACTGGCTACCGCCGAAACAAAATTGACCGGCCGCCAAACTGACCATCTTGCTCCAATAACAACCAACAAATAAATGAACAAATGTCAATAAACATCAAACAGTCACCGCTGGCAATAGTAACAGCGTTTGTGGCGGTGGTGGTAGTGCCAGCAACGGAGGAAATGGCAACGGCAGTGGTGGCGGAAGTGGCAACGCTGGCAGCTCAGAGCTTCACTTCACGCCAATAGCAGCCACAAAGTGGTCACCAAATTCCAAAGTGAGTAAGAAATTAAAAAAATCAAATAAAAAAAAAACGTGTATATGTATATATAAAAAAGCTCATCATACACACAGTTGCAATTTTCTATACTTGACCATGTAGGGAAATATTAGGTATGTAATTAAATAAAAAAGGCAAGTTTAATATCTGAAAAGATTTTCCCCAACTTACAGGATATCAATTATAAGATATATCTTGCGTTATTTAGTTTATGGCATTCTTTTGTAATGTTCTTCAGTATTCCTGATCATAGGCCAGGTTAGTGTGGCTGGTTATCGGCGTTTAAGCTATTTGGTCTCTAGTGGCCCAAGGTGAACTTCGCTTCCCAAACAGCCTTTCGTAGATATCCTCTTGTATGTCAGGGCCTTTTACGAGAGCTAATGGTCCAATTTTTGAGATCTCTTCTATTTCCTCAAACTGCGGTATCTCCAGGTATATCAGTATATTTCTTAAAAGTATCAGCATAGAAGTTGTGCCAAGAAATATTTGCCGAGTACCAGTGTTTAGTAATACAGTGCCGTACTGTAAAGCTCATGAAAGCCGTTGTTGCAGTACTAACAGCTGATAATCAAGCAAGAGTTCCTGGCAAGGCCTTAGGGGGTTCCATCTTTACTCGTTTGTCATTTAGTTCATCCCCAGAAAAGGTCTGAGCTACGAGCTCTGAACGGCAGAAAGGGAATGGTTGCTGTTGACGGTTTAACGCCGCAGAGGAGGAGAACAAAGTTGAAGACAAAAGTAAAGATAAAGCTAAAGCTAAATATACAAAACAAAAGCAAACACAAGGCTAAGGCAAAGATCAAACTAATTTTTTTTTAAATTTCTGCAGTATGAAACGAACGAACTAATCAAAACAACTATCACTTCCTTGATATGGTCCAGGCGTACACAATCTTTGTTTTTCCTGTGGGGATGGATACTTTGTACATTTGTACACGTGTACAAGTATACTTCCAACAAAAGTAGATGGAATTCAATGGATTAACAAGAAAATTCCACAAAGTTAGACTAGTGCCGCACAAACGACAAAGAACTCGAAATAACTTAAAAAACAAAATAAAATAGACAAAAAAATCGCTCGTAGAATTTATTTTAATCTAAAAAAACTCGTTATACTATTTATTGATGAATAATAAAATTAGAGAAAGTCCAAAAGTACATACATACATGCATTCGTATAATAATGTATGCGCGTAGTACATTGTACATAGTGAAGTAATAGGTTTAATCTAAAAAGCGAAAGGGGGTTTCATAAAATTAATGAAAACTTAAAACACCGTTTGTTTAAAGATTTGTAGTCAGTTATTGCTTCCATAGAAAATTAACTATAAGCGCCGTCAAAGTACCTGCTTTGATAACACCCAATTGTCGAGTTGTCTCCTTGATGAGTTTGAAGTGAGCGCTTCTTTGATGAAATTTACACGTTTTTGCAAACTGCCGTATGGTGTATTGTTAGTTTGACTTGATGTTCCATTTAATAATTATTTGTCATTTACCCGCGTCTTGCCTTCCTTATCTGGGTGGAATTTCTGGAACCAGTTTTGGTATTGACATTCATTTAGAGCACCGTCTATGGTCTCTTGGTGTAAAAAATCATATTTCCTACTACTGTATTCCAAATATGTAAGTACCTAATAATGTAGTATTATAGAGGAATGTTTATGTAAGTCAAATCCATATTTTTTCCAATTTATTGCCAAAAAAATATATGGAGCAGTAGCACTGGCGCCGCAACCAAATTAATCGCAATTCTTAACATGTTTCACACTTTGCACTTTACCGAATTAAATAGTAAAATTTTGGTAAATTGCACAGCTTCCATACAATCTATGTTCGAAAATTTTTTTGTATTGAGAAATTGAGCAACACCTCCCACAAAAAAAAATGCCAAAAATCAGCAGCAAGGCCTAGCTACTTAAAATCAGCATTTTGTTATACTAAAATTTAGATGATTGTATCTGTGGTCATAAGCAATAACCCCTAAGTCGACTTAAGAAAGCATTGAGTTATATATGCTATCGTTTTCTGCAAACTACTATTCTATGTGTATGTGAAACTCCTATCTCGTTAGTTAAGCTATTTTAAGAGTTATAGATGAAAATATTTCGGTTTCCCCATAAGATTAACATTACAATCCAAATCTTAAAAGCATTTTGTTTCGAATTCAGGTTTTTCGACTTAGCCGACTTATTGCTTATGACCACAGATATATCTGCTTACTTAAAATGTTTCTAAGAAATGTAATAAAAAGCGCAAATTGTTAATGAAACTTTATCGAATTTTGCCAGTTTTGTACTAAGTTTGAAATTTTTACATAACGAGCTACACTTGTGTAAAAAACAACATAACAGTTAACATTAAACAATCGGAAGAAAGATAGCCAAGGAATGCTAAAATGTCTCTTTGCTAATTAAATATATTTTCGCCAATGCATATCTAGCAAACAAAAAGTTTGATCACTTGCAGCTAAATCCTCTCGAAATTTGACCATTACGGGTGACTACTAACGTTTACGTTTTGTTTGATTCTTCATTTCCGCATGGCAGCGACTCGACAACACGCTGAGTTACGCAAGTCAAGTTTTACTATACTTCTTTCTCTCGATGGACACTATCTCCTGTAGCGCAAAAAATGTATCATAGTGCAAAATATCCGTCCGTTATGCGATTTGCGGTCCCCTCAAAGATTTTCAGGATTTATTTGGCACTTTGGTGATTTCGTCTAACGGTTTAGAAAATGGTTCCGGATTAATCATAACTAGAGTTGCATATTAAGTAATTAGGTATTTTTTTGCTTTTCTTGCACGAAATGTGTAACATCTACATATAAATTACTAAAGTTTTGTATTTTTATTACAAAATCGAGTTCACTACGATTTATGTGTGTATATTAAGCCGGTCCTTAAATGTTCAGATTATCCTATGAAGACCAGTGCCGGATTTAGCATATATGGCCCCATAGGGTCTTTCCGTGGTGTGGGCCTGCCTGGGAGTACTACATACGACAATCGGCGGCCACGGACATACTCCAGATTTTAGTTTTATTAATTGTGAACATAACCCTACCTTACAGGTAAACATTACGATTCGGTTTTTTTATAAAATCTAAAAATACATGCTTTGTAAATTTTAAACCAGTTTATACTATTTTGGTTTGCATAGTAGGATGGGTATAGAATGAAAAAAAAACTTTTTTTAATTTTTCACATACGTATAGTGCCGAAAAAAATATTGACACAGATAATTTTTCGCAGTGTATGCAAAGTTTTTTATTCTAATTAAATAAACAATATTTTTAAGTTTTATGGACCTGAAAGTAATTTTATCATTAAGTTAATATATCAAATTTATAAGTTTCATAATAGGTATGACATTTAGTTTACTTTTTTTTTCAAACAACAGGGTTTTAACAAGACTACGTCGAATCGTCGATCATTAGTACTAACGTGCGTAAAATACGGTTAGTACTCAAGGGTTTGGTTTTTAGAAAATTATTTATTTATCGCTTCTCTTTTAATTTTATCTGTTTTTCTTTTTTAAATTAATTTTCCTTTAATTTTAAGATTAACGTGCGTAAGATATGGTTAGTACTCAAGGGTTTGGTTTTTAGAAAATTATTTATTTATCGCTTCTTTTTTAGTTTAATCTGCTTTTCTTTTTTAAAATAATTTGATTTTAATTTTTAGATTTTCTTTTAAAAATAAAAATAATTCCTTTTGTTAATATTCTTTTTTGATTTAATCTTTTTCTTTTTCTAGTTAAATTTTAAGATTTTATTTTTTTAAAGAAAAAATATATATGTTACCGCTCAAACCCGATCTTAGGACAAACCTGTTTTTCCTAGGGTAAACTATTACTACCTAGATCCGATTCATCCGTCCCACGTGGAAACAAGTTGGACGCAGCAATATTGTGGACTGCGTAGCTGTAGTTGGACTGATGAGGGTTATTTTAAAGCGCGGCCAAAGGCAGCAACGCGGAAAGCTGTTCTACGCAAAAATACTGTGGCCACTAATCTAGTTTAGCCTAGGCAAAACTAGTTTGCCCTAAGATCGGGTTTGGCCGGTAACATATATACTTTTGTAATGTCATCTCATTTTTGTAAATACTTTAATTTATTTTTGCGTTCTTTTCATTTTACATATTTTATTTTATTTTTTATTATTTAACTAGCTGTACCCTGCCACGCTTTGCTGTGGCATATTTTTGTTATATGGACGATAAATTATTAACGAAACAAAGCATACGTTTCATATGTGTTTGGTTATGTAATAAGTACTCGTGTGCACACAATATTTGTTATTTTTCCATTCTCTGCATAGATATCAAGGATATCTGGTTTGCCGACACAGGAACACGCAACATCTGAGAAGCAATCCGCATCTAAATCTAAACCATACTTTTCCAAAGTTCGACCTGGAGCATTATTGATTGTGATTCCGAATGTCAATCGAATTGGGAATTCAAATCTTTTAAATTGAATCATCATCATTAAATGGAATCATGGGAATTCTTCACCTTTGAAAGGCTACGTTAAAATATTTTCTTACACTACTTTCTTCATCAATTTCTTAACTGCGAGTCGCATTCCGTTGCAGAGTTTTCGCTGATTAATATTCCGCAACATGATAACTGTCAAACCTATTTTTAATTTCAGTATGTGAGGTCTCCCTGGAAGATTAATCGAGTTCAAAAATTTCGTTGGATGGTCTTTTTCCACAACGGTGTTTATCGACGTATATGCTATTTCCTCACGTTGAATGCTGGATTGAATAACATTAGTGGTATTCACCACAGTGAGCAAGTGGTCTGGCAGTCTAGTAAAAGAGCTGATCAGCTCAAGCAACGACTGTTGTCAATACCACTATTATTTAGTTGATAGGCCTCCTTATTCTTCGCAGCAAGAATAGCCCGTTCACTGAGCCAATCGTGATTCCTAAAATTAATTTTCTTAATAAAGAAACATTCTTTCGATCAGTTCTCCTTTCGATGTTACTAATTTATAAAAATTATCAGGCCAAAAAATTCGTCTTAATCTCTCATTGACTGGCAGCTTTGCGTTCCCAATGTCCAGTTATTGTCGCGCGAATACTTCAGCTGCAGTGTATGTATGTTCGTCTTGTCGCAATGTTGACTATTTCAGGCAAGCATTTATCTCTCGTGTTAATCGAGAAACTACAGACAATGTTTTCGTAAAATCTCCTGCGAGCAATATCCCGAATGGTTGAACGTTTCCACGCAAATCCCGCAACAATGGATCAAAAGCCTAAAACGATTTTTTATGTG